GATATGTCCCTTTGGCATCCCTCATTACATGCAGGTGAACCACCGTGTGTACTTCTCAGGATTCTCCTCACTGGGAAGATTTTCCTTCACCACTCTCTTCCGGCTCCTCACTTAATGCGGTTGCCTTCTCTTACTACTGGCCAGTACCAGCACACTGTGCATGTCTACCATAAACAGGCATGCCTTTTTCCTCCTCTGCTAACTGGCCATAGGGTCCTCTCCAGAAGGCCTTATATGTGGGCTAAGGGAGAACTAACAAGGGAGGAGGGACAAGTACCAGAGGAGTCTGCATCACCTATCCCCACAGTTTACTTGTGCTATCCAGATCTGCTCAGGCTTAGTCTTGCTTTTACCATAGCAAGTGGAATGCTGCTCTATGTGTCCAGTTTTATGATTCAGTGAATCACATAATATTCTGTTCATGATGGGCTGCTCCTGTTACACAGTCTATTGGTTTTCCATAGGCAGGTGTCTAATCTCTACCTGGGCTTAGTAGCAAGCCAGGAACCAAATTGACGGTAGTCGTTGGCAAACCCTAAATGGTCTACAACTCTTATCCTTCTCTTGGTGCTTGTTAGAGGCTCCTTAACCCATCTCTGTCTGCCATTTTATTTCCAATAATATTGGGTGTGCCAAGGCATAGGCCTAAGCATTACGGCAGCTTTCATTGCAGCACAACCTTCTCTTGGAATATGCTTCAGTAAAAACTGGCCACCTCATGGGTTATCTAGTAAATGAATCAGAACAACATGTCCAAATATGAAGCTCTTTCTCAGTGGAAGAGGTGCATGGTATAGCAGTTTCTCTCACTTGAGGTGGGATATTCTGCCTGAGACCATTGGAACCCTAGAAACCATCAATGTGGTGGGTCCCTGAACTTCCATGGGTTTTTTCCTCCCGTCCTCTGGCTTGCTTGTGTGTCTTAGGCAGGCATCCAAGGTGCTTGGTATTTCTAGTTTACCAGGTCCAGTTAAGATAATGCCATCAATGTAATGGACCAATGTGGTGATCTGTGGGCTATCATGATGATCATAGTCCCTCCAGACTGCGTTATGACAATGTAGACATAGCCTTCGGGTAAGACAATGCAGGTGTACCTCCATTTCTGCCACTTGATGGCAGATTGCATCTCACTGCCCTTACTGATGGTAACAGAAAAGAAAGTATTTGCCAGGTCAGTAGTCGTACATCAGATATCAGGGGTTATGCTAATTTTCTAGATGCAAAATATCACATCTAGAATTGCAGCTGTAATTGGCATCACCATCTGATTAAATTTATGGTAATCCACAGTCATGTTCCAAGATCTTTCCCGCTTTGGTACAGGTAAATGGGCAAGTTAGATGGGGATATACAGTTGGTTCACCATCTGATTAAATTTATGGTAATCCACAGTCATGTTCCAAGATCTTTCCCGCTTTGGTCCAGGTAAATGGGCAAGTTAGATGGGGATATACAGTTGGTCCTCTGTATTGTGGGTTCTAAGGGGGACTTGAGCTCTGTGGTCCTAGAATGCATCCCCCAAGAATATGGGGGGCTAACTGTAATAGGATTCAACACTCCTACATCCTTCAAGTTTTTAATGGTAGTACTGATTTCTCAGCTTTCCCCAGGGATATGGTATAGTTTTTGGTTACTTTCTTAGTGGGGGCAGGGGGACAACTGCAGGGGCTTCGGCATGGCCCTTTCTCCTGTTATAGCTTTTATGACATGGGACAGGGAACCAATGTGGGGACTTGGCCAGTTACTAAGTATATCTTTTTCCACTAAAATTCTGGGACTAGGGAAATAAGTACAGGACAGGCTTATGGTGGTCTCCAGGGATTAGTGGTGGTTCAGAGCTACCATCCAGTAACCCTTGGAAGAATTAAATACTTTCCTTTCTTCGGCGGACAGTCATTCTGGGGAATTGCTGCAGGTCCCTCTTGGGAAAGGCCTGGAAAAAGATCAACCGTATACGCTTATGGCTGTGTAAAAGGTCACAGTCATCGTATATTTAGTCTTCATTGGTCTTACAACCTTTGAATATATTCCCATATATGTTCTCCAGGCTCCTGCTGGTAAAAATTGAGAGTCTGCAAAATTTTTGGTATAAAGGCTTCTCCCAGAGTAGTCTTTGAACTTCTTTCTGGGCTCTTTTGAGTTATGAGGCAGTGCATGGTGGTGGGAGGAGAATTGGCTTCCCCTAGTGAAACAACTTGGAAGGGTTTTATTGGGAGGGGAGCATTGGGAGGTTGGGTCTCCTCAGAGGGGTACGTAGCTGCTTTCACCGGGGAAATTTAGCTGTATTTGGAATTCACTACTGTTAGCCTCATTTGTGTCTGCCCAAATGCCAGCACCCATCAGGGCGCTAGCTGGAGAGAGAATAATTCTCTTTTTAGCATATGAGACTTTGCAATGTTGCACGTTTAATTGGCTCTTCAACCCTTACTATCAAACTCTGGGCTTGATCCTTATTCCTGTCAGCACGGCAGCTATAAGAGATAAAGAACTCTAAAACAGCCATAGGTTTTCCTCCCGTCTATTTTCTTTCGGTTTGTCTTTTGCTTTGTGTACATCCTTGAGGACAGCCAGAAGCAGCCCCAGCACGTGTTACAATCTCTGAAGTCAGCATTTTCATCAGCCACTTGGACTTCCAGCACTCTGCCCTCCACCTGCATTCCATCCTGTGACACTGTGCGCAGGAGGTAATTTGAGTGATCATGATGTCACTGTGTGCTGTACCCTCCCTCCACAGGAAGATTATCAGGGCACTTATCAAATATGCATACCATTTTTGAGGCTCTGTTTCCTGGGGTCATTCTTGGTACCAATTAACTGCATCGGTCACACGACACACTCAAAAACAAAGGGACTGTTTACTAAGGTGATGTGGGAGGGTTAAGGGAACCAGTAAGGCATGGTGAAGCACCCTCTTTACAAATTGTAGTCAGGAAGCCATTATTACTCCTAGGCCTTCAGCTGTAGCTGTGGGAGAGGGGCTGCCTGGTAGGACCTGTGGCCTTAGGTAGAGAAACCACTGCTCTCAGAGAGGGAGTGGGGGAGTGAATACCTTAGCATCTTGCTCCTCCTGTCCTCTGAACTGCTAGTGACTCCCATTGGCTGGACCCAACCAGAAGCCAGAGGGCAGGGGCAGGAGGCGAGCTACCTCAGTGTGCAGACAGTGGAGGTCAGCCTTCTGGGTGTGTGACAGGGTAGAGAAAGAGTGGTGATTGGATCTGGAAAGGCAAATGGAGAATTTCTAGCACATGGCCATCCGGGAACCTCTGGCCCAGGGTTGAATGTGCGCCTGGAGAGTAGGCTTCTACACTTAACTGCCTGCTGCACCTGTACTCTTAGATGGCCCCTGGGCTCCTTGTATGAAATAACTTATCCTGCCCATCAGCTCTTTCCTCTTCCTTTACTCCTGATGCCACTTAATGTGATATCTTACTGTTCCTTCCAAAGGGAAGGCCTGAGGCCTGATGTTTTCCTGTAAATCTGCTCATGTGGGCTACAGCACAGTGAGGCACAAATGGTCATTCAAGCTCATACATAATAAAGCACCAGCAGGACCTACCACCCACTTGAGTCACATTCTCAAGGGAGATGTGTGGAAAATGTAGCTTATAACCTTCACCCTTACATTGTCTCTGCTGCTTGTAGAGAAGGATGGGCCAGTGTGGGTCCTGGGGCTCTGGAAAAGGCTAGTATGCATTAGAGAACAATGGGTTCCACCTGCTTTCCTTCTTAACAGTATGTCACTGTGTCAGGAGTGCAGGGCCCTGGTCAGGTGCTGCCCTGGTCTAACTGGGTGCCAAAGCAGCTGCTTTTCTGGGGCCTTTGGGTGCTATAACTTACAGACAGTTGCTTCATTTTGTGGTTAGGAGGGAGTTGGTTGCATTTCCCTTATTTTCTAACAACCTCAGTTATGTAAATCCTTCCTGACTGCATTTCCAGCAGCAAATCCAATAAAGTAAGGTTTGATTTATCTCAAAGGAGGTGCCCTTATAATTAACTGAAAGTCATTATACCTGAATGCTTGTTGATATATATTTTAAATCCTTACCTGAATATTTTTTATTTATATTTATCAGACCTGTTAGACTGACTTCCTAAAATTAATCATGCAGGGAGATCATCCAGGCAAACTGACCTTTTAAAGGCTATAATTTGGATTATACCTGAATGCTTGTTGATATATATTTTAAATCCTTACCTGAATATTTTTTATTTATAGTTATCAGACCTGTTAGACTGACTTCCTAAAATTAATCATGCAGGGAGATCATCCAGGCAAACTGACCTTTTAAAGGCTATAATTTGGTGTCAGCAGAGAGTATGGGCTGCTGTGTATAGCAAAGGTGATATCATTGTGACATCTCAAGCCTTTGTTCATGAGTGGAATGATTTTAACATATTGCATTTGTTCTGTATGAAGATCTACTGTAATGTCTCTGACTGGGAGTCCAGTGCATAAGATCCATTCACAGTTGTTGAAATGTAACATAGCACAGTGGTTAAGAGTCGGGACTCTGGAGCCAGACAGCCTGGGTTCAAATCCTGGTGTGCAAAGTGTTTAACCTTTCTGTTAACCTGTGTCTCATTTGCCTCATTTGCAAAATTGGGGTGAATAGTTACATACTATGTAGGATTGTAATCTGAATTATTCTGTAAACTTCACTAGTTCCTGCTGATGCAAGAAATCTGAAAACCACACTTTGAGTCCATCCAATTAGAGATCTTTTAGGTGAGAGTTAGCCCTTAGTCCACACAAACTGTGGTGTATTAGCTCCCGGAATTTCCTAGTAGTAAGGAAGGTAGAGGGGATGCATATGTTTATGGTTTAGTGATAAGAACATAACAGAAACTCAGTCCCTAACCTGGGCTGAGACTTATGAGCAAAAATAAATTCCTGCCAGCATAAACACAAAATGTGTCCTATGAACAAGGAATAACAAATGATAGTATTTTAAAATTGGTTTACTAATCGGTTCTTTTTTTCTTTTCTGTTGGTTAAGGTTGCATGATGGAATTTGAATATTATCTCAAGAGGTTTTATATTTTGGATTAGTTTGTTGTGTTTGTCCTCTGCTGACTGTTTCTTCGGACTCATTTTTTGGTGTACTTTTGAGGCATTAAATCCAAAGAGATTATACCATGGACTACAAGGAAAGCTGCCCAAGTGTAAGCATTCCCAGCTCCGACGAACACAGAGAGAAAAAGAAGAGGTTTACTGTAAGTATGTAACATAGAGCATGTGGGAAAAAATTGAATAGAAAGAATATTTCCATTTCTTATTCTTCCCTAACCTAGAATGCTGCCGCCCCGCCCCCCCATCTCCACATATCCAGGTTTTACTTCTTTCGAATGATCTGTTCTCCTACTGTAGTAGAATAATTTTTCCTTTTTTAGTGTAAATTTTTGCTTACCTACCTATCCCCTTGGAGAATCTTATGAAACTGTCTGAGAGTCCCTCTTACCAGACACTGTGCATGTGCCTGCATATGGATCTGCACACACACTCATAATTTTGCGTTCACTGTCAGGTTAATGGACTCCCAAAGTTAGTGATCCCATGTTAAGAACCATTGTCTTGAAATTTCTGTAGTATCTTTCTTATTACATTTATTATTTTCTAACTCAGTTTTGAAAATATTTAATGTCATATTTTATCTATTTTTTCCATCTTAAAGACAAAGTCCATTTCTAATTTTATATTTTATCACCATAATATCTAGTATAGGGCTTTGTAAGTGTAAACACAATGAATATTTGCCATATTAGTGTATTGGTGACTATTATTGAAGAATAGTCACATTTCTAATTAGTATAATGTAACATATACAACATACAATATTGTATTTAGTTCCAGTAGTCCAGTTAGTATATACAGAGATCTCCTACCCTCCTCCTCCTGAAAAAAATGTCATTTATCTTATCTATAACTGGTCTGGTCTTCCCTGTAAGTGGGTAGTATGAAGAAATTCATTTATTCCAATCCTGATTAATACTTAGTTTGATCTAATAACTTAAACAGTTCTTGTAGGTTAAAATACCCATGCTGTCCTAATTTTGCTCTTGGTAGCCTGGTGAAGGCTCTTGCATTCTTGTCGACCCTCTAGATCTTTCCTGTTTTAGCTATAGAGTGGCTGGTCTGGCAAACATCCAGCTACGGTTGTCCTGATCCAGTCCTGGGCATTTTGCTGGCATCCATTGCTGGCATCTGCAGTTGGTGAACTAATCTTCTCCTTGTTCGCTTGGCCAGGGTCTCGTGGTGGCTCACTGCTGACTTAGTGCCTTGGCTGTCCGTAGCTGTAGCACCCCCTGAGGCTCTGACACGTCCTTCACCTGCTCCTAACTCAGTGATCCTCCCCCTAGCCTCTAATAAAGGGGTCACCTGACCACTTCCAGTTGAGCCCCCGTGACAAAAGACTTTCCACTCAGAGTCCATGTCACATGGGAGTTGAGGAAAGCTCAGGAGTTAATCTAAGCCCTTTGTCTGACCATTCTACTCTGCCTTCTTAAGTAGGTGAGGCTGGATGCTCCCAAATGGTGGCTTTCTCCTAAGGTTCCAGACAAGGAGCAGGGAAACACCCTTTCTGCCCTCAGTCTCCATTCCTTAACAAACACACCTCCCTTACCCTGCACCAAATCCCAGAGCAGAGAGATTGTAGTGTGTGTCTGGCCATTTTACTTCTCAGTCTCTAGTTGCAGGGGTTTTTTAACAGTGTGCATTTGTTACACATTCACATATGCAAATTTTTAGCAATATCACATTGAGGGTAAATAAGGTTAATATACCTTGGATAAAATAGTGGAGTGTGTGAAAGTTTTTCTTCCTTCCCTCTCCTTATTTTAACCTTTGGGCCATTCCCTCCTTCAGGGACATCCCCTTCTGCCAAGTTTGATGGGAGTTCATACATTGCAAATGTAGACAACAGGTTATCTCAGGCATCCTCTGATTTATCAGAGTGAAAGTATTTACATATCTTCTGTGAAAGGGTCAGGGAGTTTAGAGTCTCACTCTTACCCAGCTTTTCCCAAGTTGTGCCCTGAGTTCTCAGAGGCCCTATCCAAATCATCTTGTTCATTTACTTCCTTTAGATTCTCAAGTTACCTTATTAGAGAGGCTTTTTCTGGCCATTTTATGTAAAATAGCACCTTCACACCCCATCCTACCCTTTCACTCTCTGTTCCCGTTACCCTACTTAATTTTTAATAGCAGTTCTCACCACCTGACATATCTTGTGTTTGTTTGTATGGAAGGCTCCTTGACAAGAATGCAAGGTCCTTTGAGCAAGGACTTCCTCACCATTGTTTCACCAGCCCCTAGAGCAGAGATAGATGTTCAACAAGTATTTGTTGAATTTCTACTTAATGAGAAGTAGTACTAAGTTCACGTGTTAGTTGTTGGTAGCTCCAGTGCAGTCCTCAGTCCTCAAAAAACTTGGTTCTAGTCAGTGCAGATGGACCCACGTAACACAGACTCTCAGAATCAGCAAGCCCAGATGCCTCTGTTATACTTAGGAACAAAAATAGACATCATGTTACTGAGTATTTGATAATACTTTTATGCTCTAGTTCTGGTATGTCTTCTGTATATAGCTCTATGCCATGAAGCTTCTGACAGAAATGCATTGCATTTTAGGATGTCTTGACTTAAACCAAGTCTAAATTATGCTTTTATTTATCCACTTGACAAATTGTCAGTGCGTTTCTTTGTTATGTGAAGCACTTTTCTAGGTACTGGGGATACAGTGGGTAGCAAGAGTATCACAGCACTAGCTCTCAAGGAACTTATATTCTGATGGGGCAAGACAGACAAAAAGGAAGTATTCAGATAAAAATAAAGATAAAGATATAATAAAAATAAAGATAATTTCATCTTACAATAAGTATTATACTGCTTTCTGTGAAATCCTGTTCTTTTTTTTTTTGCAAATGGAAGTATTTTTTAAAATTTGAGTAGTTTTTGTTTTTGCTTCTTGTTGTTTCATTAGAACTAATTTATTGAGCACTTATTTATAAGTCACATTGTTAATTAACTTCACAAGGCTTTATCTTTTTACCTGTAAATATATTTGCTACAGAGCTGCTCCAGCCTGGAACCTAGACTCAGATCTAGTCTTGGATGTACTTGGGTAGTCAAGGGAGGCCACCTGACCTTTCAAAGGCCCACTCTCCTCACCAGGAAGTCAGCGCAAAGAATTCAAGAAGCTCACAATTATATGAACCTAACTTTCTATCCTTTTGTAACAGTCCTGCTTCTAGGCCTGTCTCATCCTGAATGGAGTATGAGATCAATCTGTCTAGTCTTAGAAGTATGGCTCAGCTTCACTGGCACCTTAACTAGGTCTTTTACCCTCTACTTCTATACTTTCTCCATGTGGGGAGTATCATCTTGTAACGAATTCTAACATCTTATACCCAATAGCTTCGTCTAAGACAACTTGATGCTTTCTTGGTTAAGATCAAAAGAGCCAGATTACCACCCTGCAGCTCATGTACGGTGTCCAAGCTCTCTTTTTCTCTCCAACTGAGTGATGCATCCCTTGACCAGGTGACTTTGACCAATGACTCTGCCTCACCTTCCAGGTGAGACCTTATCCCCTGTCTCACAGGAAGATATGGCTTTGTATTCTAGGACCCTTCAGTGAAACTGTGGGCCTGTTAATGTGACCATATCTTAAGTAGTACAGAATTCATACAGTATAATCACATACAGTATCAGAGCGGTGTTTTCCTCATAGTACTATCTATGAACTTGTGAGTGTAGGTTACTTATCATTTATGGAAAAGGATAGTTTATACACATTGGTATTCCTGTCTTCTGAAATTAACCTGGTTTTCTCCTTTAAGTTGTCTAATAGACTATAGGCAATTGTATCATAAAACCTAAAGCAACTCATATCTCTTTCCCCTAGTTTTCACTGTAAAATAATAAGATTGATAACCCAAGCCATATATCAGCCAGTCTTTCCTCATATACTTGGATTCTTGTTATTTTCCTTTTAGAAATGATGCAAGAACTTGGGGTTGCCAAACCGTTTTTTCAACATTGGTACCTTGAATTATATTCTGAGAGTATCTTTTTTCCTGTAAATATATTCGCTGCAGAGCTTCTCCAGCCTGGAACCTTGCCTTGGATCTAGTCTTGACTATCCTTGGGTAATCAGGGGAGGCTACCTGTCCTTTCTAAGACCCACTCTCCTCACTAGGAAGTCAACAAGAAGAATTCAAGAAGCTCACAATTATATAAATTATATAAATTAACCCTAAGGTTAATTCTGTATTATAACTATTGATGGTTTGATATTAGTTCTGGTGCATAAAGAGAAGATTTAGATTTTAGTCCCAGTTTGATGTTTTTGTTGTCTGTGAACTTGGGCAAGTTACTTAACTTTTTGGGCTATCATTCTCTCATATACATGAGTAGGGGTTGTAATATTTGTTCATAAAGTTGTTGATTGTATGAAATTAGGTGTATATGAAAATATAAAACACATGTAAAATAATATTGAGAATCTAAAGATAAACTCTTAGTTTGAAAAATAGTCTATAAAAGATGACTTGGAAGGAAGAGAACTAATAATTGAGTGTTTGCTATGTGCCAGGCATCACTTTTGAAAATACTTTATAAATTCAAGGTAATAGTTACTGGGGAAGGAGAGAAAAAAATTGCATCAGTCGAATTTATAATATTTTATTTCTGAGGAAAAAATCTGAAGCAAGAATGGCAACATGTTAAAATTCAGTAGATCTAAATAATGAGTACATGGGTGTTCACTATGTTATTCTCTGAAAATTATAGAATTATTTTATGGCATTTTAAAAATAAAATATCACCTTTTGACAAGTTAAAATTAATTAATGTTAATATCAATCTCATGAGTATGAAAGGGCTTTTTGCAATTAAGTTTTGTCATTCTTTATTTCCACAGGTTTATAAAGTTCTGGTCTCAGTGGGCAGGAGTGAGTGGTTTGTCTTCAGGAGATATGCAGAGTTTGATAAACTTTACAACACTGTAAGTTATAGTCTACAAGATTTCTATTTAAAACAAAATAACTGGGGGCTCACTTGGGAAAGTGTGGTGTTGATAACAGCAAGGCCATGGGTTCGGATTCTTATATAGGGATGGCCAGTTAGCTCACTTGGCAGAGCGTGATGGTGACACCACCAAGTCAAGGGTTAAGATTCCCCTACCAGTCATCTTTTAAAAACGAAATAAATAAATAAAAATAAAACAAAACAGCTGAGAAAATCCCAAAACAATAGATTTATTTGAATGATTAAATTAATGCTCATGTATATCAGACAAGCAGAAAAAGGTAAGAGATTTTTCAAAAACATCTTAACTTTGGAATTTGTACATAAAAAGGGTGGAGAGAGGACTATTAAGCAGTTGCAAACAAACTATTGAAAATAAGAGAACTATATGAACAGCTTAAAATATATTTTAATGTCATAGAATATTAGAAATAAATTATTTCTACTCACCTCTCTAATAATTGTTAATCATCATGGTAGTATTTCTGGTAAAATTGCCCAACTATAGGCTTTAAGTCTGAAAGTCTGTGAGTCTCCTTCCATACTTTCATTCTTAGTAAGAAGTAAGTCTTAGCTTCCAGATTTTAAGTAGCTAACACAACTGAAATGAGTGTTGACTTTGCAAAGCTCTGACAGTTACCTAGGGGGTGAGATCTAAGAGACCATTAGCTATTTAAATAACTAAAACCTGGGCCGGCCCGGTGGCGCACTGGAGAGTGCGCTGCTTGGGAGCGCGGCGGCGCTCCCGCCGAGGGTTCAGATCCCATGTGGAGACTGGTTCCTGCTCACTGGCTGAGCGCAGTGCGGGCACAACACCGAGGGTTGCGATCCTGTTGCCGGTCCCCGGTGCGGGTGCGACACCGAGGGTTGCGATCCTGTTACTGGTCAGTAAAAAAGACAAAAAGGAAAAGTAAATAAATAAATAAATAAAACCTGTTTTTATATATTCATAATTCAGATATTAAATAGTATTTATAATCTAATGTTTGCAGTTGTGCATTCTTTCTACAGTAGGCAGGAAGAGCACCATGGTCATTGTAACATATCAGACCAGATCTTACCAGGTACCAATGGTGGTGGAGAGTGTTGCCTTGAAGGTCATATATAAAGGCCAAAGAATGCCTGCTGGGTTAGTCCTTATGGAACCCCAGGTCATTAAGACAGTCTGGGTTCCAAGCTTTGCTTCAGTTAAGAAAAGAAGCAATTGTGCCTCAAATATTAAATTTAAATTCCTTCTGCTCTCATAACATAATAAATAGGGATCTCCCATTGTGTTTGTTTAATGCATGGTAGATTACTAGGCATTCTCTGGAAAAATTTTAGGTTTAAGGTAATTTTTTCATTTCCTAACCCGGTTTCTTGATTTTAAAAATAGGGATAGATAAATATGTAAGCCTGTGGGCTATGCTTTGTAACTTTTTTTAAATTTGAAGGAAGTTAAGTATACCTCAATTAAGAAGCAAATTACTTCCTCAGTGGGCTAGAATGAATCAGTGTCTAGCTGCACAACTTCCCATGTTTTGCTAAGTCATGCAAATTAGACTTCCAGCTCATCTTTATTTAGCATTTCACTATATCTGTATTTGTTCCAAATAGTATCCAAATAATTTGCTAATTGAAGTAGAACTTTAAAAAATAATATTGTAATTTTTTAAATGACATTTTTTCCCTATGTAAAATGAATACATGTTCTAGAAAATCTGGATGATAAAGTAAAACTAGATTTAACTTAAAACTTGCATATAGTGTCACTACATAGCAATAACTGTTAAGATTTTACTGTGTTTTCTTCAGTTCTTTAAAAATACGTATGCACCTGAACTTACTATATGTAGTTTTAAATATGGCTTAATCAAAGGATGTCGATATAATTGAAATCACACTTTTGAAACAAAATAATAACCAAAAAGAGTTTGTACATGGGAATATCTTATGTGATTTTTAAAAAATGATTTATTTTGGAAGCTGGGTGAGGGTTGAACTGTTGGCTCTATTTGAAACTCTTGGATACTTATTATGTACATCTTCAGCATTTTTTTGAGGATTGTGCAAATCTGCCTGTAACTGTTGGGATACCTAGATTATGCTCAGGTAAAATAACATGACAGTGGTATCTCATATACATGTATGAATGGTTTTATGAACTTAGAAAGATAAGATCAAATTTTGCTCAAAGAATTACTAGTAACTGAAAGTTGAGACTTCTTTCCGTATTTTGCTTAAAATATTTTATAGGCTATATTTACCTTCTAAACATGTCTTTTCTGGAACTGTTCATAAGAGGGAGGGGTGTAGGGAATGTCACCTAAAAACTCAGCAGTGTTGCATCTTCATTATGGTGTCATGGTTTAAATAGCTGGTGATTAATTAGATGGGGTGTTAGTATTTGAGTATCTTTAATCATAAAGGTAAAGTAGGAACACTTGTTCTGGGCACAAGCCTTCATGATCACTTTCATTCTCTCTTCCATGAAATACCACATCTTTAAACTTTGTGCAGAAAAATTTCCTGAATGTGTAGTTGAGTTTTCATCATCCATCTCCCCCATCTCTCTTGTATTTCTCTTCCTTTACTTCATCTTTTTTTTTTAAATTTCATAATTTTCTGTGTCTATCTCCCTCTTTTTACATACCTCCTTCTAATTCTGCCTCCTGTGGTGTGGGGAAAATATAAAACAGGAGACTGTATCAGCTGTGTTCCTTGTACTACAGAAATTAGGTTAACCTGGCCTGGATTTCCCTAAGTTAGAAAAAACAAATTCTTTCACTATGCTCCTTTTAGAATAAAAGAAAAGATAAAAAATAAATTTTCCCATCTATAAGCAATTTGTCAGCTTAAATGTATCTTTTATGACTATAGTTTATGTTTGAAAACTTTATTACAGCAGTTGTTAAACACTTGCAGAAGTAGAGCAGTATAAATACAGAAAATAATATAATAAAATACCATCCAGCTTCGACACTTACCAATAATACATGGCCATTCTTGTTTCGTCTCTATTCCTAGCCAGTCCACTGTAATTTTTTTTTTTTTTGTGTCTTTTTTCGTGTCCGGCAACGGATTGCAACCCTCAGTGTCGCGCCCGTACCGGACC